TGTTTTTTATCTCATACAGTTCTCCTCACTTCAAGCCCTATCTGTTTAAAAGGAGTATGTAATAAAATATTTAAAGAGATCAATAGAGTAGATGACTAAATTTCTCTCTCCAAGGAATCGCGGAATTGATTCTGCAACTTTTAAAGTAAAACTTAATTTCAAGTTTTGATATTTTAGTCTTGATACTTAAGAATAATTTGTCATAAAATAACAAATTGTTTAAAAACAATAGTTTAAAATCAGATGTAAAATACAAAGAAAATAACTCTAAACCAATTTTTTTTTCTAATGACAGATTTTTTTTTAAAATCAGTTGAAATATAATAAAAAGGAAATTAATAGAAATAGCTTTTTGACTTTATCTTGTCAAAAAAAAAAGTAATAAGTATTTAGCAATGTCATTTTAAACTAGGACCAAATCACCTTTTTTGGTATCAAACCGAATCACAAATTGAAACAGACATTAATTCGCAAATCAAATCAAATCTTGAATCAAATCAGCATTTTGAGGATATCAACATTTTAGTTAAACTTAGATTTCCTCAAAAGGCTGATTGGACTCGTGGTTCAATTCGATTTATTTTAAACCTTATTTTATCTACATTGTATTTAATTTACACTTATTTTATCTACATTGTATTGTCTTTAATTTACACTTTTAAGATCAATAAGACTATTGGCAGATGTATAGCTAGTCTGCTGCAGAAGTGAAATTCAAATTATGGTAAAACCATAGAGGTGTTTGGTACTGGCATTAGCATCTTTTGACCGAGATCACAATATAAAAAATGGTAAAAAGTATTCAAAAACAAAGGGAGGTCCGAAAAGATATAAAAACAGATAGAATCAAACCAGAAATCCTTTTGAAAGCAGTTTTTGTTGATAAAGACCACCCACTAGATCTTGAGTTATAGAGTTTAAAAAATGCCTATGGATGAGACTTCCTCAGACTATTTTGGTACAATGAATTCCAAAACTTTTAAAATCTTTCAAAGTTGCTAACAACATATCAGAACTCACAGCAAAATTGTAAATCTATTAGACATAGTTTAAAAAATTAATTTTAAAAATAAAATGCATAGTAGGATACTTATTTCTTAAAACAAGAAACGTATTTCATGTTTTAAGAAAAATATTTCGTAATAAAAAAATCAATTTTGCTGTGCTCCAATATTTAATTGTAAACTCTTAAATTTAAAAGTACATTTGAAAATTATTATTTTTACATATTTTTATGAGATATTTGTCTAAAGCTGAAAATTTATATGTATATGAATATTTATTACACATTTGCAGCGTTTAAACGCTGAATTCTGAAGCAAACTTACTTCAGAAACAAGAGATCTATGGCGGTGACATATTTAGCTTTTTTTGGTGTTTGAGATGTTACTTGAAATATTTTTATGTTTAAACTTATGTCAAATAATGGTGCTTTTTAAAAAATTGCAATAATTGGAGGATGGGAACAAAAAAAGCCCTAAAATATAATCCCCTTGCCCCAAATGTGAAAGTAAAAAGTTGGTGAAATGATTTTTTTTGTTATTCTTAACTTAATTTATATTCATTGATAAATTTTAAGTATTGTTTTACAATATTAAGTGTTCAAAAATAATGACTACATAAAATTTGTAAACCCCTCAAAATGAGGGGAGTTTAAACTTTATATACTTATAATTTATGAAATCTGAGAGATATTTCTATGAAAACTTAAATTTTATCAATGAATATAAATAAAGTTAATAATTTCAAAAAAATTATTTTACTAACTTGTTGTTCTCACATTTGGGGCAGGGGTGATGAAATTTTAGGGTTTTTTTAGTTTTCAGCCTACAATCATTGCAATATTTTGCGATGATTGAAGTAAAAAGATACAAATGCTTTGAGTTTGCGCCATGACTGTTAGCTCAAACACCAAAAAATTATGGATCACTGATCTTTGGTTTGATACCTACTCCAGGTACTTTTTCGTTATACATTAACATTGATATATTTTGATCTAGTTTAGTTTACAACAAAAGTCCTTTATCCATTAACTTTACGCCAAGATAATCCTTTAACCAATCTTTTAAGAAAACCATTATGAATTCGGATTTGCTTGATCCACAGCTCCAGCAACAGTATTTAGATAAAAAACATAATTTGATAACAAAATGAGGCAAAAATTATAAAATTTGTTGAATGACTGGAAAAAAGCCTAAAGATCAACAAAAAATTACTTTACAGTAGCCAAAGTGTTAATTTATCTACCGAAATTAGTAAGATAGGCACAACATATTTCTTAAATTAATAAGCACAATGTTTTTTTAGGTACAGCAACACATAGAGAAAACATCGTTGAACAAATTAAGTGGATTTGATATCAAAATCTATTGGTGCCAATGCTTTGAAATTGCCCTAAATTTAGTCAAAAATGACAAAAAGCGAAACTTCAAACAATCGGCACAAATACTTTTACCAAGAAAAAATAAATAATATAAAGTTTTAAAATATAAATATGACCTTTAGGCCACTCATTAACCCCTCTGCATAAAAATTGGTTGTCTAAAAAAATTATTATTAAAAAAGGCTAATATATATATATATATATATATATATATATATATATATATATATATATATACATACTTTTTTTATTTTTATTTTAATTCACCTCCTCAAGGCCGAGAAGGCCACTACAGACGAGGAGGCTACTTATTTGTGGCTATAACCCTCTCTCAACTCTATAACTCCGAAACACGAACCTTGATGAACAAGGCCGCTGCGCGGAGAAACGAGTTGAGCGCGGTACTACCAGGGACGTGGTGAGGATCGAACTCCGAACCACTCGTTTATGAAGCGAGCGCTCTACCACTACACCACTACCGCACTTAATTAATTTCTTAAAAACAAAATTTATTTTTAATAAGAAATCATATTTTAAAGAGTTGCTTAAGAAATAGTGTAAAATGAAAATATAAATACTGTAAAAACAAAAGTTATGGCTATTATGAGTTCAGAATTTTAATTATGAACTTTTTATATGCAAAATTCCTAGTGCCCCTTCCTTTACATCCTTTAAAACATCCCTAAACAGCCATCAATTTTTTTAGTTTTTTTTATAAATAGTTTTTTATTTTATTTTAGTTGGAATTTATCTATATATAGAAATTTTATTTTGGTACAACTGCTATGGTTCAGTCTTTTATTTTCTATTATTTATCTAAATAATAAAAACGAACTTAATAGTAGTAGTAATAGTAGTGCCCTTTCGAGCCTGTTTGACACAATACTCTTGGCAGCCATTGCAACCGAGGTAGTAGTGAGAAAGAGTAGCAGCACTTTTTTATATAAGAAATATCAACGAAAGTGTATGCTAATATCTAACTTATGCAAACATCTAACTTTCTTCAAATTATATAATGTTAAAATCATACTAATACATATATCAAGATTTTCAGTTTTTTTTTCACTTGAAAATTGTATTGTGGTAACCATGGTAACATCTCCTTAAGATATGATCTGTAGCACTTAATTTGGTTTAATAAAGTTTAAAATATTTTATATACTTTTAAAATTACATGAAACAATAAGTATGCGCAGACGAGTGGTTAGCACGCATTTAATTCTTTCTTAATTTTTTAGTAGTTTACTTCAGAACATTTCATTCCAAATAAATATACAGGGTAAAGGTTTTAAAAAGCTCTAAGTATATGTAAGGTGTATAGGTCTATATATCTAAGTATAATCAAGGTACACATATGTATGTGAATTTTCAAATTGGCTCATATTCTATTGTTTACTAAAATATTCTTTTGTCATTTTAATTTTAATTTAACAATTATTAATTTAATAAATTGGCTCATATTCTATTGGCTCATATTCTATTGTTCACTAAAAATATTAAAAAGAGAAATATAGACAAAGTCAATGTGGAATAGAGTTTCTCTGTTTATGAGTGAAACAAACTAATTTATAAATCTCTTATAAAATCCACTTATGTAAGATACTCTTATATAATCCGTATACAGAAAAGGTGCGCATGTTTTTTTTTTTTTGGACTTTTTGTCTGGACTCGCGCTTAAAGCAATTAATTTAGAAAATTATTTTATTTTACTAAATAATATTAACATGAGTAAGAAGTGATCTATGTGGAATAAATTAGTACAGAAATGATAGCTTTGGTAAAAACAGGTATTTTACTGGTCTGTAAAGCTAGGATATGCATATAAAAAGTATAGAAAAGGTCGGTGCAAAAAAGACTTACAAAGACCCGTGTTTTTACGGGTCCGCTCATGAGAAACTTTTTATACCAATGGTCACGTTTCAAGCTGGTATATAGACAAGTACTAATATCTGATTGGTGATTTACGCAACGGTTACCGTAACAATTAACGTTTATAAAGGTTATAATATATTTATTTTTCAATGCTTTAAGTAGGAAACAATAAGTATAGTTTTTCTATATGTATATAGCTATTTTTCTACAGCTCACTACAAAATATTGACATAAGGAATAAGTATAGAAAAAGACCATCTGGAATATTTTTAGAAAGACCCGTATTTTACAGGTCAACAGCTAGTCACTTATTATTTATCAAGTCTTTTTTATTTTTAATTCTTACTTAATTTTCATTTGCATTTCACTTATTTTTCATCCATGTCTTACTTATTTTTCATTCAGCTTATTTGAACACTTTTTTTAATTTTCCAACTATATTTTCTTAACAACTTAGCATTTTATGAACTTTAAAATTTATATAAAAAAATTTTTTTAGTTCAAAATTTAAATAAAAATACAATACAAACTAATTATAACAGGCAGTTTTAAATGTATTCTACAAAATAGAATGCTCAAATTCTACAATTGAATTTTACAAATGCTCAATGATCTTAAAAGAACAGACCAATAATAAACACTGTGTAAAATAAAAAAATGTAAAAATTGGGAAATCCATAAAGTTCTGAAAAATTATATTTATGATTTCCTTTGTGCTTAGAATTTTAAAACAAATAAAAATTACCTGTGGATTCATATCACCATGTAGTTTAGTATGGTCAATTTTTAACTCATCTAATTTTGCTGAAACCCAATTGCAGGACTTTGATGTATTGCAAAATATAATACATTTTTTATCACTTTGACTTAAGAATAATGTTAACTTGTTAATTAACAATTCTAAAAAAATTAAAAAAAAAAGTATATATATATATATATATATATATATATATATATATATATATATATATATATATATATATATATTATATAAAATAACATGCATTATAATAAATATTGTTGTTTGATAAATTTTTATAGAGCGATTTCATGTGAAAACATGCAATTTTTTTTGAAAATGCAACCAATGTAGATCAATTTTTTTTTTTTTTTGTTTTAGAAGTTGTCTTGAATAGTTAAGCTATTGTTATTACAAAGAATTGGAGAGTGGTCTTTTTTAAAACAGAAATAAAAACATGGTCAAAACTACTTAAATTTATTGCTTAAAGGGATCCCTAACTCCTGACACATGTTGTGTTCATATTAAAGATAATGTTAAAAAAAAAGGTTTGAACCAAGTTTTTTTGATTAAAAATAAATAATGAATGCATACCGAGAAAAACTAATGTTGTTGTTTTAGTTGAAGCTTGCCTTCTCCATTTTTTTGAATAACTTTTATGAATTAAACGCCCTTCGAAGGAATCGCCAAAGTCTGTAGATTGCGACGTATAATTTAAAGACTCTGAGTTATTCAAAAAAATGGAGAAGGCGAGCTTTGGCTAAAACAACAACATTAGTTTTTCTTGGTATGCATTCATTATTTATTTTGAATCAAAAAAACTTGGTTCAAACCTTTTTTTTTAACATTATCTTTAATATGAGCACAGCATGTGTTGAGAGTTTGGGATCCCTTTAAAAAACAGGTATTTTGATAAATTAAACAAGAAAAAAAATGTGGTAATTTGACAGTTTTGTAACTGAAACAGTTTTGGCTACATCAAACTGTTCTTTTTGTTGTTGTTGACTGTTTCTGTTTTCTTTGTAATTTTATAGAATCTGATCCTAATAGATTTAAGTTTCAAAGGGGAAGAATTATATAAATGCTTGTTGGAATTATTACAAACAATCAGATTGCAGTCTTAATTTAAAGATTTAGTATAAACCTATAAAAAAAATATTTAGATAACAAAAATCTGTAACAATTATTTAATTTTTTATTTATATATACATAAAAATTTAAAGAAAGCTTATCTTACTTTGGTAAACCACAGTAAAATTCAGTCAATTGAAAACAAATCTTTTCATCACATTTGTAGACAACTATACAATTTAATAAATCTTCTGGTATTTTTTTTTGGTAATGAATAATCAAATCATTAAAATTCAAAGAGTTTTAATGATTTGATTATTCATTACCAAAAAGTTGATCAGCTTGTACATTTCTTGTACCAGCTGATGAAGTTGTAACTCTTGATTTTGGAGGTGCAGTTGGTACAAGGCTGGATTTAACACAATGAAAAATAGAAGGCAGAGACGAGGGTCTTTCCTTACCATAAACAATAATTTTGTTAAAATGTATAGGCCAATGTTCAAAACATACAACAGTGTATTTACTATCAGGAATGTTGCTTCTTGGAATAGATGATAGCCACTTTCTACATTCTTCTGGATCTTTTGGTAATCTGTAAACAGCACACTTTTTTTTATCTGTTAAATAATTAGTAGAGCAATTATATTTTTTCTTCTTCTAATTGCAACCAACGATATTAACCTTCGTTAAATTTTTCTGAGTTAATTAGCCTCCAGTTATTTTTACGGTTTGCACGATTAATAGGCCTGTGTTTTAGATAGCCGTGGTTGGAGGCAAACTTAAAACAGCTATATCCTAGGAAGCGATTGAAATTAGACGATAAAATTTTCAGGATGTTCATAATTCACTTAAATCTTTAAGTACTGAGAAAATCAGAAAAATCTGAGACTTAGGGTTGCATGCCTTGGATGTTTTCACATGGAATTGCCCTTTATAGAATTATTGCTATTTAAAAGCCATATTTAAAAACTTATCATTTAGGCATATATCAGCAAAGTATGTCACATATATATTCAGCAGCAGTATGTCACATTTTATTGAAAAAGTTGACTTAAAATCGAAAAAGTTAAATAGCCAAATGAACTATATGATGACTATTAATTATAAAATATTAAAAAATGTGTTGTTATAATTTTGTAGCATGAATCATTTCACTTTTAGTTTTAATACAATCACAATTACTTCAAATCTTTAAAATCTTTCAATAAAAGAATAAAGAACTCAACAGATAATAAAACATATGCAAAAGATAATAAAAAGATATGAAAGATTTCAGTAATCTAAATGGATGATAATACCTATGCAAAAATATTTATAAAACAAAAACTTGAAATTTATAAAAATCTTGAAATGCTTTGTAAGTATCGAATTAAGTTGACAGTTTTAAAAAATTCAGCCAACTATTTAAGTATTTCAACTTATTTTATTAAAAATATGAAATCATTTTCATATTTACATTATTTTTGTAATGATACACAATATGTAAAAATTTTAAATGCAGTTTATATCAAAGGGGATATATGACATTTATGATATATTTAAAAATGCATAAAAACAAAAAAAAAAAGAAGCAATATACAATGCTGATAAAAATTACCACTTTTTTGGTCTTGTCTTGTTTTCATAAATGAATGTTTAATATGAGGAAGAACTTTATGAAGATTTGATTGACAAACTTGCAAGTCCTAAAATATATATATATATATATATATACATATATATATATATATATATATATATATATATATATATATATATATATATATATATATATATATACATATATATATATATATATATATATATATATATATATATATATATATATATATATATATATATATATATATATATATATATATATATATATATATATATATATATACATATATATATATACATACATATATATATATATATATATATATATATATATATATATATATATATATATATATATATATATATATATATATATATATATATATATTTATATATATATATATATGTACATACATATATATATAAACTACTTTAAAACATCAGATAATACGAGTTCTCTCAATACTATTGTATTATTGAATTCCATACTATTGTGCTATTGTATTCAATACTATTAAATTACTGAATTCTCTCATTACTCAATAGTATTTAGAGAATTTGTATTATCTGATGTTTCAAAGTAGTTTATATACATATACTCTTGTACAAGACGTCAACATTTAAATCATATATATTACATATATACACATATATATTATTTATATTATCTTTATATTATACAGCGGGAAAAATAAGGCGAGCAGTCACTTTAACTGGCTAACACATGCAATTTGACGGTCAATTGTTTTTTGGACGGTCAATTCAATATTGTATATTCATTTTGTTTTACATTTTTAACTTTAAACTTAGTATTAGTTCTTCAGAAATGAACTTCATAAATACAAAAATAACTTAATGCTTATAAATAACGATTTGATATTTCTTTTAAAATTATAATTTTAAATGAATTTAATGTACTCCTGTAAAATAGACACAAATAACAAATGTTTTAACTACCTGAATATGTTAATAGTTTTGAAAATTCTCGCACACATAGATTTTCATAGAAATTGAAAAAGGAAGTTTGATAGTATTCAAAAAAGTTTGAATATTTTTTTTAATATTGAAACAATTTTTTAAAAATATAGAAAAACATAAACTGAACACTTAAAGCATGCAATCGTTAAATTCGGAACAACGAAAAGTTCAAAGAAACTATAAAATAATTAGACTAATGAAAAAACTTCAATATCTTTTATTTTAATATATTTAATATAATAGCAACAATTTACACTAATCCACAACATCAACTGTTGCACAGTGTCTTTAGCAATTTTTTTTTCAACTAATGTTCACTCTCTAATCAAATCTTTAGCTGTACTTATTGTTAAAAACATTATTTATTGTTACTTAACATTACAATTCAACAACTACCAATATTGACAATTAAAAGTTTTTTGCTGAACAATTTCAGTTTTAAAATTGAATCAATAATGCTACACTTTTTTGCAATCTTTAGCAATAATTGTTCAATTATAAAAGTAAAATAAAGCAATACATTTTTACAGAATTAATTTCATTAAACATTTTCTCACATGATTAAATAAAATTTTTGATAATATTTGTACCTGAAATAAATGTTAATTAAACTTTAAAATAAAATATTTGTACCTGAAATAAATGTTAATTAAACTTTTATAAGGTTAACTCTTTCACTAACAACCGTTTTAATAAAATTCTTTTCGCTTTCGACCGCACATTTTTTAAAATAAAATTTGGAGGGCATAACATTGACAACTAATTAAAAATTTGAATAGGAAATCTCTTTAAAAGCATAACAAACTAAATATCAAGGATTACTCAAGGTTTTTTAACTTTGTCAAGTAATAACTTTTTATAATTACACAATATGGCTCTTATTTGTTCTTAATGATGTAGAGAATTAATTAAACCTTAAGAAAAACAAATTATAAGTTTACTATCTGAGTACCCCAAAAATGTTAACAAATATAGTAAGTGGGACATCTGGACACTTCATTTTCATATTTAGAAAAATCTGGGAGGTATCACATTTTTAGAAAATCTGCTAAAAAAGTCATTATTTTCGTACTTTAAAAAACTAAATATATTGATATATATATACGGAACAGTAAAATTAACATAAAATAACTTTATATTCCAAGTTTTTTTGCTCTTAAATTTTATATTTACACATCAACTTCATTAGACAGCTCTTAGATATACCTAAGTTGGTGAAAAAGTTTAGATATGCTTGAATTATATTAGGAACATAGTATGCTTAGTAAAGTAGAACATATTGATAAGTAATTTAGTAAAATATTAGTATTGTATGCATAGTTGCCTAATAATCTAATATATATAAATCATAATAATATAATAAATACTAAATAAAATATTTCAAAAACTGTTTATTACTAATATACTTTTAATGTCTTTTTGAATAAGTTTACAAATTCTTTTAACTTAAGATTTCATTAATGCTTATGTTTTGATGTACAATTAATGTTCAATAACTTATAAATTATTTGAACTAAACACTTCAGCAATTCTTTTGCTTTTTTCTTTATGTTTGTTGCTGTACTGCGAGACTCCAAACCTGTTTATTACACTTTTCATCTTGGAATGGCAAGATTCAGATATCTGCTCATTAAACTACCCAAGGGAAAGGCCACTCAAATCAACAAATATTTCCAGATGTGCTGTTACAGCATGTACTATCCAAGTAAGCGTAAGCTGTTTACCTAAAAACTAAAAAAGCTTACTATAAATATGTTTATCAATAACTTGGTTTTAAATACAAAGGGTAAAGAAAACAGCAATTACCTCTCTGCAATAGTCTTGGGCATCCTTATAGCTTTGTGTAAAACTTTCAATTAAAATTGAATAGTTTGGGTCAAGTTTATAGCCAAAGACACTATGAACAACCTTATTAAATTTTCTCATTGTTTCTAAGAGAGGATACAGTTCAACAGACATTATCAACTCAAGTTTGTCGCAACTTTTAAGTATCTCTCTACACGTGTTTCCTTCAAATGTTCCTCCATGGTAACCTTTTCAAAGGCATCCAATGCTCTTGACCCAATCTACAAATCCAGGCCAAAGTTGCATTATAAATTCTGCCACATGGTTAACAAATTCCATCAGAAGGTGAAGTCCTGTTAATGGAATCTCTCTTATTATACTTAGGGATTTGTCTTCTATCTTAAGCAGACAAGGATTAATGACATTCTAAATATATGGAAATAAATTTTTTTTATCCTTTTTAAAATGATAAAATTATAATGGATGATAAATTTTGAAAATATTTACAATATATTTATTCATTTATACCTTATATATTTTTCATTCTTTTCACCGGAGATCCTGCAGATGAATACAGTTCATAGTAATTATTCAAAGATTGAAATGTTCTTAACTCTCCAGAAAATAATTCTGAAGAACCTTCACACCATGCACAAGCATACTTTCCTCCATGAGCCTAAAATTTTATATTGTAATTCAATTTATAAATATATTGTAGGGTAAAAAAAACCTTTTCCTAATATAGTTTTTACCATAATATGTCTTATTATCTTAAAATTATTTAAAACAAACACACCGAAATTCCTAGCAATATGTTGATTAACTTCATGTCAGAAGCCAATGAGTACTTGCATTCATGCAACTTTAATCTTTTCACAATCATTGTCATGTTAGAATGATTCTCACTTACCCTTTTACAATAAACTAAAACAAGTGACGTATTTGCTCCTGAGTATTATCCTAAGGAGCTGCTATCTTTTGTCCTGTCCTTGGTTGGATCAAACAGATTTACTATAACTTTCAGTGATCCTCCACCTATAAATATATATATACTTACACACATACATATTTGTATATAAATATGTACAAATAATATTTTTAAAAACAAGTTTTCAAAAAGACGATTATTAAAATATAATAAGTAATATAAATTAAATAAATTAAATATAAATACCTGAATCTATTCCAACCTTTACAAATGTGTTTTGTGGAACTTGCCCTCGATATTTTATTACAAAATCCAGAAATGTTGTAATATCTTCAATATATACCAAGTGTCTCTTCACTGTAGCATAGTCATTATCTTTTTCTTTTTATTGAAAGTCTAATAATTCAGTGACATAAAAGTTGGAAAGTAGTTTACTTTTTTCATCCAGGGCTTTCTCAATGTTTGACTCAAACTTTACACCACTTCTCCTCAAAGTTTTTAACATTTCATTTGACTTCAATTGACTAAGTCCTAAGGTATTTACCAAAACTTCTACTTCATTATAAGGAATCTTTCTCTGGTCACTATTTACCTGTTCTGAGAATGATTTGAGCTCCTAGAAGAAGGGAAGAAGCTTTAAGAAATACTCTCAGAAGGGAAGAAGGGAAGAAGCTACTTGTTCTTTTACTTTTTTAGAAATTTTAGAAATACTCTCAGAAAGATTTGTGCTACTCTTTAAAGGGGAACATTTGTGGGGTTTACCTTTAGCAATTTCACAGAAACATATTTGGTAAAGTTTCAGTGTTGAGCTAGTTCCCTATTTCATACTTTTATTTAATAATCTATTTCTTCCTTGACTGCATATACTGATGACTGCATATACTGTTGACTGCATATATTGCATAATATTGAGCAGTCTCTAGAGGTTAAGCTAGACAAATCAGAATTTTTCCATTTTAAAGTAACTGTGTCTGCAATAGTTTTACCAGCCTTACAGAGATATAAGTTTTTCTTGCACCATAATCCTGTAGGGTAGGCAAATACTTTAACTCAGGCTTACAGAAAACTTTAACCAGACCTTCCAAATTTTTATTAACTGGAATGCATTTATTGTTCTTTTCAAGGCAGCAACAGCAAATGATCTTTTAAAAAAGTATATGATTTCTTTTAAAATGGTATTCTCTCTTCTCCTTAGAGAGCAGAGGAGCCATAGATTCAATATATTAGGAATCTATAATAAAATTAAAACAAAAATGCATAGTCAAAAAGAAATATTTTTAATAAAAAATGTTTTTTTGACCAACTTTGTGTATTCTAATAATGTTTATGTATAAATATTAAATAGCGTACCGTTATGGGCCTAAAAATAGAACTTTTTTTAGAAACGTAAGGCATTTTGGGATTGATATTCGGACAATCATTGCACAGAAACAAAAGAATTTCTTAAAAATGCCGTTGTGGGATTAATATTCGGACAAACGAACAATTTGACGTCACCAAAACGGTACGCTACTAAAAACCTTGAAAAGTTGGTGTATGAAAATTTTTTTAAATAAACTTCAACTTTCTGTCAGTATAATTAGTTTTTTTAAGTACAAAAAAAATGACTTTTTATCACATTTTCAATGTCAATTTCTAAAAATGATACCTCCCAGATTTTTCTAAATATGAAAATGAAGAGTCCAGATGTCCCACTTGTTATATTTGTTAACATTTTTGGGGTACTCAGATAGTAAACTTAAACCCTAAATTTCTGACCTGTATTTAGTGAAAGATATAAATAATGCAAACTGATTTTTTTAACAGAATCTTAATAAGGATATTAATTATTTAATAACAATAAATATAACTCATAAATAATTTATAGCAAGAGACAAGCTTAAATAAAATAAAAAAACTAAAAAAAATTCTATAGTAATTTATGTTGAAAAAAAAATCTTTATATAATCATAAGTAGCTAAACAAAATTTTTTAGTCTATAATGAAAAAAAAAAAATTCTATATTTTGATAAAAAGTTTTTTTTGGATTTCTTATCGAAATTCTGCAATGACATCATATACTAAAACAATTTTTTTTTTATCATGCTCTTTAATATGAACACAGCTTGTCTCTTTAAGATGCCTTTAAAGATAAGTTGCTCTAGTTGAAAAAAAAACTTATCTTCAAAGATAAGTTGCTCAAACTTTCTCATTCAGAATAGGAGGAAGATGGAAACTATTTGAGGATGAAATCTTTTGTTATAACAACGATGTTGTTGAGCAAGGAATCAAATTATGTTCAGATTATCTTCAGATACTTACAAAGTTAAAAACAACTGAAATATTTTTATTTCAATTGTTTTTTGAATTATTTTTTTACATGTTACATATACAAAATGTTTGGTTAATTTTAGGATGAGTCAGTGCAAAATGAAGTGGTTGAAAACCATAGAAAACTTGTTTAGAATTTCAATAAAAAGCAATTATTTCTGACTTTGCTCAATTTAAAAGCTAATATTTTTTTCAATAAGATAAGTCAGAAAGAAGTTGCTTTTTATTAACACCACACCAGACAGCGGCGGATCCGAACGTTGTCATTGGGTTGGGGAGGGGAGGGTTGGTATGAAATGAGTGTTGTAGTGAAAAAATTGCAACAAATTAAAAAAGGCCTGTGAATTAAAAGATAAGGACAAACCTTATTTTAATTTAAATCAACAGTAATGTTAAATAACAAAGTATAATTAAACTTTATTAATAAATAGCTAATCTGACATTTGCAACAAAAGACAAAATTTTTATTATTTCAACATTCTTACCAATAGTATTTGTTGGGCAACCTTTTCATAAAACTCAATATATTAGTAATCAATCTTGTTAACTCTGCCATCATTTTATTTAAAAAAGTCCTAGGTATTGCTACATTTAGCTCAAAAAAGATTCCATCAGAAAATCTGAATTGTAAATCTAGAAGCGGTATCAAGTAGCGGTAAATAAACTTTGAATCTATAATAAGTTTGAGGATAATTAGTATTGAGGTTTGGGCGATTAGTTTTTTTTAAGTAATTTGAGTAATCCTCTGATCCTAAGTCTTCTAGTAACTTAATTGCATTTTTAAGTATAAAAATTGAAGTTTTCATTTTGTTGTCTTTTATTTAACATCTTTATATTTAAGAACAGTTTTTGCATATTCCTTTTCTAATTTAAGAGACTGGTATTTAACACATTGGCTAATATATAAAGTGTTATTTAAAATAAGGGCTCAGATATTGCATTTTTTAGTAATGCAGCTTTTGTTGAGGAATTTGAATACACAGAATAAATAAGGATATTTACAATTTGGACCAGGAAACCAAATGCATTTCAATATCAGGTAAATAACTTAATCAGTTACCTGACATTTCAAAAATGTTCCAATGTCTATAGGCAAACAGCTATCATCTGTTGTCACAAATAATAAATCTTCCTGATTAATTTAAAAGGCTGTGTATTTTACTTGTAGAATTCATAGATTCTATACTAAGTTCAGGATCAGGAGAAAAAATACTAAGTTTCATTGTAATTTGATTATTTTCAGCCCCACCAATAAATGGGCAATTACATTTTTTGAATGATGATGCTGAAGATAAAGGCAAAGCAATAGAACCAGCATGGCGCTATATTGAATTTTAATTCTTCTGACAAAACAGAAGAATTAAAATTCAATATTATGATTTAAAATGATAATAAAATATTTTTGTTAACTAAATAAGAAAGTAATTCATAGGAAACTAAAACAGTTACTTTTTTAAAAAAAAAATTTTTCTTCATATCTTATATAAAAAAAAAAACATGACAACCTTAATTGTTAAACAGTAAATTTTTTAACAATTGAGGTTGTCACGGATTGAGGTTTAGCTTTGTTAGGGGGCCGGGGAATGAGTATGGGACAACAGGTGTTGGGGGTGGAACACTAACCCCCAGAAACATTTTTTTTTTGAGAATCACATTTGCGATAAATATATTTTATCAATGCTTTTATGTGCCTTTTATCATAACTATTCAATATGTCTTCTTGACTCGATGCATGGGTTTTGCTTATGTCTCTGTTTTTATGACTAGGTAACTTGTTCTATTATCTCCAAATGAGGGTATAGCCTTTAACTGATATAGCCGTCAAACAGGTTGATCCATTGCTCTACATTCGTATCACACTAGCTTCTGTATCTAAAGTGATTTCCCGCTTAGACTTTTCTACAGCTTGCGGCCAGGACAACATACCTGTTTTAGTCTTGCAGAAGTGTTCTCCGGTCGTCTATCCTTTCAAAACTATTTAACAAGTGCTTATCAGAGTCTTGTTTTCCAGCCTGCTGGAAAGCAGCATCTGTTATCCCTATTTTTAAAAATTCTGGAGAGCAATTCGATTTGTCTAACTAACGCCCCATTAGTCTTCTTCCTATTATAAGCAAGGTTTTTGAATCTTTAATTAACAAACACTTAATCTCTCATCTGGAATCTCATAACCTACTTTCTGACCATCAATATTGATTTCGATCTTCTCGTTCTATGGCTGATTTGCTAACAGTAATATCCGATAGGTTTTATCGCGCATTAGATAAAGGTAGAGAGGTTAAGGCCATTGCTCTTGACAATTCAAAAGCGTTTGATAAAGTTTGGCATGCTGGTCTTCTCCATAAGCTTTCTTCTTATGGTGTATCTGGAAACATCTTTAAGATTATTGAATCCTTCCTTTCCAATCGTAGTATAAAAGTTGTCCTCGATGGACAGCACTCTTCTTCTTATTCTGTAACCTCAGGGGTTCCTCAAGATTCAATCCTTGGCCCTATACTCTTTTTAATTTACATTAAGGATATTCCAGATATTCTCAGATCTAAGGTGGCATTGTTCGCTGATGATACTACCATTTATTCTTGTCACAATAAGAAGACAACTCCCTCTGATTGCTTGCGGGGGGCATCTGAGCTTGAAAAGGATCTCACTTCTGCTACAGCATGGGGCTCACGGTGGCTGGTGAACTTTAATTCAGATAAAACTCAATTTTTTTCGGCCAATCGTTATCGCATTAGTTTAGACGTTCCTATATTTATGAACGGTAATGTACTCGATGAGTCTCCTACCCTTCATCTTCTAGGATTAACTCTTACTTCTAATCTTTCTTGGAAACCTTATATCAAATCTGTTGCAAAATTAGCATCTGCTAAAGTTGCATCTCTTTATCGAGCTCGTCACTTTCTTACTCTAGATTCTATTCTCTATCTCTATAAATCTCAAATCCGGCCTTGTTCCATACAAGTTACTGTTGCCATATCTTGGGTGGATCTTCTAATAATGCCCTTTCTCTTTTAGACAAGGTGCAAAAACGCATTGTAAACATAGTTGAACCTACTCTTGCAGCCAACCTTTAACCTCTGTCACATTGTCGTAATGTTGCTTCTCTTTCTCTTTTCTACAAATACTATAATGGGCACTGCTCGAAATAGCTAGCGCCTCTTGCGCCATCTAATAAAATTCATTCTCGTGCTACTCATCATTCAATTAAGTCTCATCCTTTTTCTGTTACTGTTCCTAAGTGCTCCAAAAACTCTTATCCGTCTAGTTTTTTTCCTCCAACATCAGTTCTTTGGAATATCTTGCTCTACAATCTTCATCTTTTCTCTTCCAGTAACTTCCAACACTAATTAGTGGTTGCTTGCAGCCTTGTTGGAAGCGAAGATGTTTAAAAAAAAAAAAAATGTCTAAGACACTAAACAAACTAAAGTTTGAATTTGCTAAGTTTACTTTGCATAAAAAATATTGTTCAAAAAAAAGAAATATTTAATATTATTGCAATGGTTTGGTTATTTAAAAACATATTTACACTATAAATATTACTGAAAGCAAGCATTAAGGAAAGTATTTTCTATTGTGCTAGTTTATACAAGTTTTTTCTCTGCGAGATTTAATTTCTAGCGAGTACAGAACATTCTTTCGACATCATACGAACTTGTGGCGCCTATAAAGCCTTGCATAGTTGTCTTTCGGACATCTGTGTCTGCTGGGTTGAAACAAAATTATTTATTAATAATTCGAAGTCAATGCTCTCAGCATTTAGCTACATTTCTCAGCAAGTTTAGCTACATCTCAGCAAATTTAGCTACATCTCAGCAAGTTCACAATCGATTAAAATTAATGCATACACATCTTTGTAAGTAGGGCCAACATGAGTAGGTTTTAAGTGGGTAGGAGGTGCATTACTATGTAATAAACTGAACTATGTTAAAAATGCATCAACTGTGTACATAAAAGATGATTATAAGAGATATTATTTTTAAATAAAACATCTCTATTTTGTTTTCTGTCGTAATTGCAAGCAAATTTGTTAAGCAGCTATGTAAAAGATGGTTGGATGTATACTTTATAATACTTTATATATATATTTTTTCCTATGTTTACTTTATAATTATTTATTTATTTTTTCTAATATGTATCATAAAATATATGAAATATATGTATCATATCAGAAAAAAAAAAAATTTTTTTTCTGATATGATACATATATTTTTTTTTGTTTTACAACATTTAATTGTGTTCAAAAACATGGATAATTTAGAAAATGCTTACTTTTTTAACAAAATCTGAACTTAAATTTGCTTAAAAGCGTTATGCTTATATATATATATATATATATATATATATATATATATATATATATATATATATATATATATATATATATATATATATATATATATATATATAACTTAAATTGCTTGTTTAGATGAGCATTCTGAAGTCACACTGAAATAGCCTGCTGTCCAGACTACAGTACATACATTTACTGACAAATAGCCTGAGTTGCAGCAGAGTGCTGCTACATTAACTGAGGGTTTGGGATGGGGCACCAATCTTTTCTTTCATTATTCTTCATTTTTTTCTTTTTTTAAAAAAAAAAATGCACTATGCTAAAAAGATATGAAAAAATAGTGAGCAAACGCTTATATAAATCAGCAATAGAAGATAATAGGTAAAGACTTTTTAGATAAAATTTATGGTTATTTTGTTTGCATACCCTAAATTTTTTTATATTGGTTTACATTATATTATTAGTTAATAATAATAAATTTTATCTAAAAAGTTTCTCTTAAAAATTAGCAACATGCTGAGTTAAATATATAGTATTTTTACATATTTAACACAGCATGTTGCTAGAATAAAAAAAAAGGAAACAAATTAGGCAGGCTGTTTAAAAATGACATGAAATTTTAATAAGTTGTGAGATGTGAATTTTAAATCGAACTATTGGAATAACAATTTATTATTTCATTTAATAGTTTAAGAGTATTATCATAGTAGTGCTAAATTTTTAAACTTTTATTTTACTTTTAGAGATATTTATATATATCTAAGCAGGCCTCGGCGGGAAGCGAGAGCTTAAGCTCTCGCCCACACTCCCCTAAAACAGTTTACAGGAGCAATTTACGGCTCTCGCAAAAGTATAATTTTTCTCATGAAGGTATAATTAAAATTACAAAAGAGTGCTAATTTAAATGAGGAGCAGCTCGCACAGCTCCCCAAATTTGTTTTAGGAGAGCTTTTCTCAGTGCTCTCGTGCTCATTTGTTCCCGCCGAGGCCTGTATCTAAGTATATAAAAATATATTTTATATATATATATATATATATATATATATATATATATATATATATATATATATATATATATATATAATACAGATATATATACGATACTGAATATATTAAATGAATATCTCTTTATTTATGTTAATTAGTAATTAAATAAGTAAAAAGGAAAAATATAAATTACAGGTATAAATTCTTGGTATCTTCCCAAAACACCTTTTGGAGGAAGAGTTGCAGCTGTAAGAATGAATTGAATATTTGTTCCATTTTTACTATCGGACTCACACTAAAAAAGTTTCCTAATATTATATAAAGAAAAGTATTTTTCTATTGTGAAAAATAAAATATGTATAAACTTATTTAAATAACTTAATTTAAAAATGTTTACATCTAACAGTTTTAAAAATTCTGATGTTGTATTTCGAAAATTGTCATCCATCAAAGTATCAGCTTCATCAAATACTACATATCTGACATCAGAAAAATTTAGAAGACCTTAAATAGAACAGAATAATCAAAATGAACTTGAAAAAGTTTGGCCTTAAATGTTTTAACATAAAACTTTTGTGAAAAAAACCTTTTTGATTCCACTTAAGTATGGTTGACGGCGTTCCCACAACAACATCAACTAAACCTTTAACATAATCTTTAGCCCATTTCTAAAAAAATTTTTATTGCATAACAATAGCAATGAATTTTTAACTAAATAGATTTAAAACATATAGATAAAATATATATTTATATGTGATATCAAATTATTTATAAGTGTCTTGGAGATTTGTGAAAAGAAAATATGGGAATGATGATAGCAGTTAGTAAGGCAATAGTGCTTGGGCGGCTGATTAGCCATCTGAGCCGGAAAAAAACAAAAAAATAAAACATTCAAACCAGCAAAACAATACAAAGACAAAAAAATGTCAATATACTTATTTATATACATATTTTTTTATTAAATTTACCTACCCAAGGCTCCAGAAATCCCGGAAAATCCTGAAAAATCATATTAATAAAAATTCCGGAAAATTATATTTTCTGGAAAATTCTCTAAAATCAAATACAATATCTCAATTTTACCATACAATCTGCAAAGCGTAATAAATTGTTTACTTTTTAAATATAAAATGTCAGAAAATGGTTCAGAAACTAATACTTTTTATACTTATAGTTTTCTGCTGCAAAACATTTCCTTTCCTTTTTCGGTACTTTTTTACATGATCATTAACATATTCTTTAACTATTTTGCACCGTTCATGCGATGCGAACAGTGTTTTTTTTTGCGTTGAATCATGGCCTACTTAAATACACGGCCAGACTTGTTGCTTACAAGTCCGATAATTATGGGCCAGTTTTTAGTCAAGTTCTTTATTTGCATAAAGTGGTTCTTAAAAGAATTACAGCTATTGTTATTATAATAAAAAAAAACTTTCATTTCATCTTTTTACATTATTTATTTGTCTTATAAAATGCCTAAAAAGTGTTGTGTAGTTGCTTGCAGAAGCGGTTACAAAAAGAAAAAAAATGACAATACTGTAGAGGGTTTTATTACTAAAACAGTATTTAATTTTCCCTCAGACATAAATTTATGCTCCCGGTGGATCAAGTTTATAAACAAAATTAACTAGAAACCATCTAAATTCTTAGGAATATGCATTGATCATTTCGAAGAAAAATTTATTAAACAAGGCAAAAAAAAATACACAAGGCTTTACAAAGAATCCTGTTCCAACAATTCATACAAATAAAGATTGTTTTTTAAAGTCATCTTTACTTTCTACACCTATAACTTTAAGAAAGACTCCTACAAAAAGACCTTATTCTCATTCATTGCTAGATGAAACAGTGGTTTTCAACAAACTTGATAAGATTTGTTCAATTAATGACTTGACAGAACAAGTTTGTCCTCAAAATTTTTTATTTATATGGTGGCGTTATTTATTATTGTGTTATCATTGAAAATCTAACATCATCAACTAACATTGAAAGCATCAATGTTGATAACAATCTGCATGTAAAATTGTACCATAAGGGAAATTTGATACCTCTTCCCCAGTGGTTTCGTCAAAACAATAAGTGTACACTAACAAGTGTATGTTAGAAAATTTATTTTCTTATATAAGAAATTGGGTTGAAGAAAAAGAAAAAAATATTTTAAGCAAACTTTATAGTTTATGTATTATGAATCACATGGCAGAGAGTTATATAGTAATGAACATATTCGATTTGCTTTGTTTTACGATATACCTCTAGACAAGCCTATAACTTGCTATTAGATGAATTTCCTTTTCCTTCATTTTCATATTTAAAAGCATTAACTTAAGGTGGAATCGAACCAAATAAAGCATTAAAATATTTATTAAAAGAAAAAATAAGCTCAGATTCAGTTTTGTTAATTGATGAAATGTACTTGCAAAAAAGTGGTCAATATCATGGTGGTAAATTTGTTGGAAAAGATGAGAATGAAAAATTTTATTCAGGAGTTGTAGTTTCTATGTTAGTTGGTATTAAACGTTCTATACCTTTTGTTGTTAAAGCATATCCTGAAACAAGTATTTCTGGAAATTGTTGATGACTGAAATTGAAGAGTGTCTAACAAATCTTTTTGATGCTAATTTTCAAATTTGTGCTATTATCACAGACAAGCATTCAACTAATACACTTGCATTTAAAAAACTCATAAAAAAGTATAATTCTACTAAAAACTTTTTTTTTTATTATGGACAAAATAAAATTTATACATTATTTGATAGTGTACATATTTTAAAAAACATTAGAAATAATTTATTACATTCAAAGAAATTTATTTTTCCAAAATTCAATTTTAATAAATTTGAGGATTTAATTAACGTGAAATGAAACTGGAGATATTCGTTGGCAGTTATTTTACTAAGTTAATGAAAAAGATAGCTTTTTGCCTGCTAATTTAAAGAAAGCTTACAAACTTATACCAACTGGTTTACATCCAGGAATAAACAAAGTGTTAAACTGGCTTTGCAAAAGTTATTTTCCGAAAAGTGCTGCTAATTTTCTATATTTGATAAATACTTGGTGGACAATTTTAAATTTAAAGAATATATATAATACTAATAATAAAATAAGAAATGCTGTTGTTGCAAATGGTCAAAAACCTGAATTTTTAAATGCTTTTTCTCAATATGTAAGTGAACGGTATAATACAAATTTACAGGGATGTCACAAATTGTCACTTTCAGCTCAGACATCATATGCACTAATAGTCACATTAAAAGAAACTGCATCTTTAATCAAAGATTTGCTTTCAGAAGGATACCATTACATTTAAACCAGTAGATTTTAAACTGATCCTCTTGAAAAACATTTAGGGAAACTTAGGCAGATGAGTGGCGGAAGGTTTCTAGTTAGTTTGCGTGAAGTTGAAAATTCTGAAAAAATAATTAGCATAAAATCTCTAATTAAAGAAACTCTGGCATTGAATACATGGTTTAATAATGAAGTACCAGTCAATAATGATGTAAAAGAACTTGAAACAGCTTTACTTCTATTACAAAATGAAATAGAAGAATATGATTTATGTGAAAGTTCAAAAGGAAGTTGTAATTCATGTTTAAATCCAAATTTAAATGCTCTTTGTGTCAAGATCTTCTTCAAACTACCCTTATATGGAAATACTATCAAAGGGAGGGTTAACTGAACCTAGTGAAAATATGGTAGAACATGTTTGCTCCTTTTTTTGCAGATTAGACATCACTAATTTTTCTATTTGTTGGAATATTAAGACTTAACTAAATATTTCCAACAAATAGAAAAATTCAGCTCTAGCTGCACTTGAACTGTTCAAAAATAACATTTGTTTTATGTGTTCTGACCATTTAGAAACAGGAAGATACTGTCTTTTTTCACACAACTGTTATTAATATATTTTATAATAATGAACAATCAATTCAAAATGGAAATATTCGAAAAGATGAAATAGTAGTCTTTAAAAATTGACACAACAAGAAATAAACTTAATTTATTATACTTGTTTTTGCTATAAATACACTTTTGTTTGGACTCTGTATATTTAACTTTTGCTTTAGTTTGCTTATCTTATCTATAGCCTTATCGCCATCTTTTTCTTATGGTGGCTAAGTTTGGCTTTTGTATTTTTTCCTTAAAACTATTTTATTTTTTGATTTTTAAAATTTTTCGATAAGTGGTGGCTAAGTTTGGCTTTTGTTGATTTTTGTTAAAACTATTTTATTTTTTGAAGTTATATTTTTCTATAGCTGTATTTTTTTGGCTTATAGTTTTTTCTCAAGTTATATTTTTGTTGAAATATATATTTGATATATATTTTTAGATATCAGTTTAATAAATGATAAATAATAAATTTAATAAATCGTTAAAACTGGCCTACTATTTTTCGGACTTGTAAGCAACAAGTCCGGACGTGTATTTAAGTAGGCCATGGTTGAATTTATATTATAAAAACGTTCTTCAACTTTTCTGTTTTTTGTTGGAACTTCATTTTTTTAAAATAGCATTTGCTTGCAGTTTGCAAATGACCACAGATGTTATTTTTAACTGGGTCATGTAATATATCTCGACTTTTAAAGTACCCAAGTGCTCTAGTCTTGTTTGCTAATAGTTGATACTTAACTGAAGCTATAGCTGAG